AATGTGCATGGTAAGAAGATAAAGACTCTTTTCAGTGATCGCGGGGGAATTCACTTCTCAGCAGTTTGAAGCTTTTCTGACTGAGAAAGGAATTCAACACGATTTGTCTAGTCCTCGCTCGCCATGGCAGAATGGACTTGCGGAGCGGGCAAATCAGACATTGCTTCAAGGCTTAAAAACCTTGCTGCATGATGCCAATCTTCCAGAGAGTTATTGGGCCGAATCTCTCTCGTGTTTTGTTTACAGTTACAATCGCAGGTTATCTTCAGCGATTGGTTGTACCCCCTATGAGAAGATGTTTGGCAAGAAGCCATACATCAAACACATGAAGATTTTTGGTTCTGACATGTGGGTTCGCTCACCACAAAACTCCAAGTTAGACAAGCGTGGATTGCATGGTATCTTTCTAGGTTATCAGAAAGGGTCTTACAGAATAATGATGACTGACTCTAAGACAATTAAGCTCACGAGAAGTGTTGAGTACAATGCAAAGTGGGGGAGAATGTGGGAATTTTCCAATGTTATCCTGATGACGGTGATGAGACTGAGGATAGTCAAAAGCAACCACAACAGCCCACACCCACTGATGAAGGTTCTGAGTCTGAATCTGAAACTGAATCGGGTGATTCAGAGGATTTCAAGAGTGCGAAAGCCTCTATGCGACCCTCTGAAAGCTCTGATCAAGAATTGGAGGAACCATTGTTCACAATAGGTCGTTTTTCTCCTAAGAAGGAAGAGGAGAGTGTTGAAGACTTAAGGCTAATTCGTAGGTCACAGAGAGCCACAAAGGCAAACCTCCAAAGAGATTTGCTGATGAGTTTGCTAAGATAGCAGTAACAGCTGTTAAAAGCTCCAAGAAGGTATTTGAACCTTCAAGTTTCCAAGAAATCCAGGGTTTGGATTCAAAGGAAGCTGAGCCATGGTTAAATGCCATGAAGGCTGAGCTTGATTCCTTAGAAAGGAACAAAACATGGGAGCTAGTTCCAGTAGTTCCAGGAATGAAACTGCTTGGAAGCAAATGGGTCTTCAAAGCGAAGACAGATCAAAATGGCAAGATAGTCAGACACAAAGCCAGATTGGTAGCCAGAGGTTTTGCACAGGTACCAGGTGAAGACTATCACGAGACCTATTCACCCACAGTGAGATATGAAAGCATTAGGCTTATGCTCAAGCTAGCTGCAGAGGAAAATCTACACATTAGTCACCATGATATTAATACAGCTTTTCTGTACGGATCTCTAGATGAATCACTTTATATGCTTCCACCTGATGGCGTACAGGTAAAACAGGGATTTGTTTGTGCTCTGAAGAAATCCCTTTATGGTCTCAAACAAAGTGCACGGTGTTGGCACACAAAACTCACTGAAGTATTGTTTTCTCTAGGTTTTCAGCAAGGGAAGCTGATCCATGTGTATTTGTCAAAGAGGAGGGGCAAAAGAAACTGTACTGTTTGTTTTATGTTGATGATTTATTATTCTTTTGGAAAGATGTCGCAATGTACAATAACGCCCTAGCTCAACTGAAAGAGCACTTTGACATGAAAGATCTTGGTGAGGTAAACAACTACCTATCTCTGGAAATAGAGAGAGATCAAGATGGTAACATTCTAGTACACCAGTCACGGAAAATTGCTGATGTGTTAAGCAAACTAAATCTGATGGATGCTAACCCTGTAGACCCACCGATGACAACAGGTTATCAGGTAGATGACACTGAAGAAGCATTTTCTGACACTACACTGTACAGGAGTGTGCTAGGCAAGCTAAACTTCATTGCCAGATGTTCAAGACCAGACATTGCTGTTAGCTGTAATTTGCTAAGCAGACAAGTCAACAATCCTAGTGTCAAGGATTGGAAAGCTCTGAAACGCATAGCGCGGTATTTGAAAGGCACTATGCATTACAGACTGAGATTTAACAATCAGAAGTCTGGTGGTCTTGAGATATTTGCAGATGCAAGTTTTGGAAGTGACGCTACAGACAGGAAAAGTACGTCTGGAGTTTGCTATATGTACAATCAGAGTCTGTTTGATTGGTCATGCAAGAAGCAAACAACAGTTAGCTTAAGTACTTGTGAAGCTGAACTGAATGCACTGTCTTATTCACTTAAGGATTGTGAATGGTTAGTACAATTGTGCAAAGATATGAAAATTCCTGTCAAATGTCCAATCCAGGTTTACCAGGACAACAAAGCATGTTTGGCTTTGCTGAAGTCTGAAGGTTGTAAGCAAAGCACAAAGCACTTACAATTAAAGTTGCAGCATGCTAGGGAATGTATTCAGAAGGGACTCGTAACGGTGTCCTATATGCCAGGTAATGAAATTCCTGCTGATGTATTGTCCAAGATTGTATCAAGGGATCAACACTGTACCTATGTGCAGAAGTTGGGTTTGTACTGATACTGTACGAACACGCTGCCCAGTGATGTTCACAGAAAGGGGGAGGATGTTGGTTTCTATTTCCCTCACTGAGCAGCAACTGCAGTCACAAGACATTGTTTTACATTCCACAGTCTGTACTGTTGGAGTTTCTCACGGGAAAGGGAGACTGGATGTGACGTACACTGGTTTCCTGTTTTTCACTGTGTGATTCTCTCCAAGCTGTCGAGGAGAGAGGATGCATTTTCTGCTCCGGCAGGGCAAGATGTCTTTCTGTAATATACCAGCTTTGAACTGTAAATAAAGCAATATAGAGTATGTAACACATTTTCCTCATCCTTCCGCTGGCAACGAGACTCTGCTTAAATCAACAGCCCCAGCGTCTCTCCCTCCAACCAGGCATTCTCGTTTCCCTGAAACTGCTCCCCTTGGAAAGCTTCCCCTGTTACTGTTGCTAAGGCTGCAGTGTGCTTCTGGAGCCTCTGGGGACACTCTTTAGCCATGTGCCGTGCACTGTCACAGATGTAACACTTCCTGGTCCCTCTAGGAGGCTTCGCTTTGACTGCTCCTGACGCTGAGGCTCCGGCAGCTGTCTGAGCCTTTGCACCACCCAGTTCCATGTGTTCTTCCCCTCTGCCAGGACAGGCGAAGGCGTGAACGTTCCAAGTCCCTAGAAGGAAAAGGAGGCGCTCTAGCTGGTGGGCGGACGTGACGCCCCTCCTCCCTGTGCCAAGGGCGGTCTTCTTGGCGCACCCCTATCGTGAGTGCCCTCTGCACGACGTCTGCTAGGGTTTGAGGTCTGTCTCCCCTAGCCAGCTCATCTTTCACTGAGCCGTGTAGCCCTTCCCAAAACAAGTCCCTTACTGCCAGGGTCCTTTTCCCAGCCCAGCACATTCAGCAATGCAAAAAAGCGAGAATGGTACTGACGCACTGTAGCCTTGCCCTGCCGCAATCCATGCATCTCCTGACGTGCCACATCAACGTCAACAGTAGATTGGAAGCAAGCGTCCATGGCTTTGAGAAATTCATCAGAGTCCCTGCGTGCAAGACCATCTTCGCGCCATAAATTGCGTAACCAAGTCCTTGCTTCCCCATGCAAATGGGACACAATGAACCCCACTTTTTCCTCCTCATCCTTGAAGTCCTTTCGAAGTAAATGCAGTGCATATACGACGTCTGCTCTGAAATTGGGATAATGCTTCAGGTTCCCATCGAAGTGGGCTACTAAATTGCCCCCCCCTTCGTCCCAGTCCGATTCCCTCTGATCTGGACCCCGGGAACCCCTCTCTGCACGCCCGATCCCACCTGGCTTGCAGATCCTGGCATCGCGCTTCTGCTTCTGCAACTGTCTTCTGAGAAACCACGACGGCAGTGGAGAGCTCGGTGACTGCGTTTTGCAGGGACGCTATCTGCTCCTCAGTAGTCATTGCTGCCAAACTTCGTGAGCTGTGCAAAAAAAAATTTTTTGCTTCAGAGACGGGACTTACTGTCAAGGCTGCCTCAAGTCTTAGCTCAGAAAGACCAACGCCTACGTCTTCTTGAATACAAAGGTGTTTATTGCAGTTCATGGTTTGCTTGACATCTTAGGCGCGCAGCCTTACGTCTCTTACGCTAGACCGCCGAAGTCCCGTCTGAGTCAGTCCCTCCTCTGCACCAATTTAAGAGACTTGCGCTGCTCCACCTCTTTCTCTCCTTCCTTTTCCGCAGGGTCTTTCTGCCCCTGGGGTTTGCCCCCTTCTGGATTCCTCTGACGCGGAATCAGACTGCTGCTCCCCCTCCTGCGGGCTTTGGGACCTGGCCCCTCCTCCGGGCTCCCTGCACTTCCGCGCGCCTCTACATTTGAACTAGGCGCGCGCGCCAAACCTCTAACTTTCCTTTTGACAGTTACACTGCTCCCTTCACTGCTCCCCTCCCCTTCCGGGAGGGCTGCTTGCTCTGACCCCCCTCCTCTCTCTGCTGCTGGAGCTCCTTCCTCTGACACACTGGAAACTCCACCCCCTTCGCTGCACTTTGGTGGGGAGGCTGGTCCTGACGCCCAGCTGCCACTTTGGGATCCTCCGCTGGCACCCTGCTCCTGACATTTCCCCCCTGGGGCTCCCCTGGCCCTGACCACCGGCGCCCCCTTCTGGGAATCCTCTGATTCGCTGGAAAGACTCATGGAATCCCTTGAGTCATTGTCGTCCTCTTCCTCGCTGGCTTGGAATTCCTCCCCTTCGCTCTCCATCTCCTGCCTACCCTGTGCCTCTCTCTCTGAACCCCTGACAACGTACTTCCAGGGTTTCGACGTTTGGGAACCGAAACGTTCGGCGACGGAGATGATCGAAAACCGAGGTTTGACTGTAAATGAGTAAGTTAAGTGAATTTGGATATGCAGAAGATATTAAAAATAAGCTTAAGGAACTGCAGAAAGAGGGGAAAGGACATCAAGTTTTAAAATGTCAAGATGATTGTAAAATCAGTGAAATGTATATCTCTGAAATGTATATATATGTATACCTGAAATGTTCCATGATCCAATCAGAAGCCAGGATGGCTTCTGTAATTCCGGGATGTCCTGCTTAAATTGGGACGATTCAGTGATATATGCTTCTGTTTGATTGCTCTTCTCTCACCGGACTTTCCAGGGCAACGTGTGCTTTGTCGCCATGGGGGACGACGTGGAGGTAGAGAATGCCGAACTGGTGCCCTACCTGGCGGAGCTGACCTCCACAGAGCCGGAAAGTCTCCTCAACACGCTCCTCTATCGGACAGTGGCCACCGGGGGCGGGGAAGTCATCCAAAAGGGCCACAGTGCCAACGAGGCCAACTACGCGAGGGATGCTTGCGCCAAGGTAGTAGCTATGGCAAGGTGTGGAAATGTTCAGGGAGGCAGTCAACTTAAGCAGTCAACTTCAAAATCCCAAACGTGTCAACAATTATTCGAAGTTCTCACCCTGGACACCATTTTTGCTGGACGTATGGCAACCAATAACCAGGATACCTGATGTACCGTCTCACTCCTTATTTACTTATTTAATCCATTTACTCGTTGTGTTTATGTTCCGCCTTCTCCTCCAAGGAGCTCAAAGTGGTTCTCTCCCTCCCCATTTAAGCCCCACAACAACCCCGGGGATGGACCGTATTTTTCGCTCTATAGGACGCACCGGACCATAGGAGGGGGAGAACAGGGGGAAAAAAATATTATCCCCCTCTCTGCTCAGTGTCCCTTCAGCGAAGCAGCAGGAGAAACGGAGCCCCTTCCATTTCTCCTCCCGCTTGGCTGAAGGGGCGCTGCACAGCTCTCCCTCTCTGCTGAAGCCAGGAGAGTCTGGCTCTCCCGGCTTCAGCGATAGCCACGCGAAGCCTCCGAAGTGCATAGGGAGCTCTCCCTCTGCGCTCCAAAGGCTTCAGGCGGCTATCCCTGAAGCCTGGAGAGTGAGAGGGGTCGGTGCGCACCAACCCTTCTCACTCTCCAGGCTTCAGCAAAAGCAACGCGAAGCCTCCAGAGCTCAGAGGGAGCGCTCCCTCTGCGCTTCGGAGGCTTCGCGTTGCTATCGCTGAAGCCAAGGAGCCTGCATTCGCTCCATAGGACGCACATACATTTCCCCTTAATTTTTGGAGGGGAAAAAGTGCGTCCTATAGAGCGAAAAATACGGTAGGTTCAGCTGAGAGGCAGTGACTGGCGTTCCAGGAGTAAGAAACCAATGCAAAAAAACCTGTTCTTGTGCTGCCACCCTCCAGACCTCTTGCAAAGGAGGCTCACGGTGGTCTCACGATAGTCTCCTGAGGCATTTAAAGCCGCTGAAATCTGAAAACTCTGTTCAACCGAAAGATGACACGGCCATCACCCTGTTTTCACCTACAGGCCTTCTATGAGCGTCTATTCTGCTGGATCGTGGCCCGCATCAACACGGTCATTGAGGTCAAGAACTACGATGCCCGAATCCATGGCAAGAATACGGTGATTGGAGTCCTGGACATCTATGGCTTCGAGATCTTCGACAACAATAGGTTGGTGTCTTTCACCTAGGGGAGACCCCCCCTGAGGCAAACGAAATACAGTTCTGCACCCGCTTCTGCGCTAAACATTTAAAGCAGTGTGATAACTATTTAAACAGTCGTCCCAGAACTACATTTCCCTTTTAATGTTTAATAGGTTATTGTATTTTAGTGTTTTGTTGGAAGCTGCCCAGAGTGACTTGGGAAACCCAGCCAGATGGGTGGGGTATAAATAATAAATTATTATTATTATTATTATTATTATTATTATTATACCACTGACCGTCTTCCTGGCCCTGCTCTGAACCTCTTCCAATCTGCCTAGCTCTTTCCGAAAGTGTGATGTCCAGAATTAGGCCTGCTCAAATTTGGGTTCCCTGATCCTAAAATGACATCGATGGACAGGCATTTCAGGGCCAACAAAAGAAAGCCCACTCTGCCCTGCAAAAATGCGACATTAACTTATGGAACTCACTGTCACAAGATGTGACAATAGCCACTGTCTCAGGTGACTTGTAAAGAAAATTAGACAAATGCGTAGGCTGTCTGATCAATAACTTGTAGTCGTGACAGCTATATAGAAATATTATTTAGATCCAGAGGCATTATGGCATTAAAAGTGAACCCAGGTTCAAATCTCCAGCGTGAAGCTCACGGGCTCACCTTCCATAGTAATTAAATAAGTCTGGACTCTGCCACTGAGTTATGGTTTGCCCTGGGGTGCAGAATCCCCTTTGCTCTGTGGGGTGCGGATTGGGGTCCTGAGTCTTGCCTGCTCCCTCTCCCTTTCAGCTTTGAACAGTTCTGCATTAACTACTGCAACGAGAAGCTGCAGCAGCTGTTCATCGAGCTGATCTTGCAGCAGGAGCAGGAGGAGTACCAGCGCGAGGGGATCGAGTGGCAACACGTGAGTCGCGGTGGCCGGTGAGGGGGAGATCATGGCAGGATGGGAAAGATGTGGGGTTTTCTGGTTGCATATTTTGTTTTATGTGGTGAACTGCCCTGTGATCTTTGGATGAAGGGCGGTACAGCGGTACCTCGGGTTACAGATGCTTCAGGTTACAGACTCCGCTAAGCCATAAACAGTACCTCGGGTTCAGAACTTTGCTTCAGGATGAGAACAGAAATCACGCGGTGGCGGCAGCGGGAGGCCCCATTAGCTAAAGTGGTACCTCAGGTTAAGAACAGTTTCAGGTTAAGAACGGACCTCCAGAACAAATTAACTCCTATTTGGGGACTTCCCTGGCTTTTTTCTGGTCCACGTAGGACCAGTCTGGATAGTCGGCCTTGGTGAAGATTTGACGTTTTCATCCCCAAAAAGTTTTTGATTTGAGTTTCTACTGAAATGAGGCTGCATTTTAATATTGTATTTTAATCTTGTTTTTAAGTTGTATTTTATCAATTGTTTTTATACCGGTGTTAGCTGCCCTGAGCCCAGGCTTGGCTGGGGAGGGCGGGATATAAATAAAATTTATTATTATTATTATTAACCCAAGGTACCACTGGATATCAATTCAATAAAAAATAACAACCACAGAATCTCCTCTCTGGGATTTCACAGGAGAACTGCATGAGTCTTAACCCTTTGCAACAAGTGGAATTTTATTTTGGCTGCAGTAGTATTCCCCACACTACCCCTGAGCAGCGGCGTAGCGTGGGTTGTCAGCACCCGGGGCAAGGCAAGTAATTTGCGCCCCCTAACCCCTAACCTGCTGCCGCTGCCAGCTTCTTCTTGCTGCTGCCTGGTCTGGTCTGGTGTGGTTCTCTCCCGCGCTCAGCGCTGCGCTGGGCGGCCGCTGCACTGTCCCTCCCCCAGATAGTCCTTCGCTCTCTCTCCGCACCACACGCCTGGCACCCACCCCCTCCACAGTGGGCGGCGACCCAGCGGCTCGGATTCTCACAGCCAGCACTGCAGTGAGAGAGAGTGAGTGAGCCAGGTAGGGGCAGAGAGCTGCGAGTGCGAGCGCGCCCCCCCCAGATGTTGCGCACGGTGCGGCCAGCCCCCCCTGCACCCCCCACGCTACGCCACTGCAGTCTGGATAGCTGACCTTGGTGAAGATTTGACGTTTTCATCCCCAAAAAGTTTTTGATTTGAGTTTCTACTGAAATGAGGCTACATTTTAATGTTGCATTTTAATCTTGTTTTTAAGTTGTATTTCAATCAATTGTTTTATACTTGGTGTTAGCCACCCTGAGCCCGGTTTTAGCTAGGGAGGGCGGGGTATAAATAAAATTTATCATTATTATTATTAACCCGAGGTACCACTGTATATCAATTTAATAAAAAATCACAACCACACAGAATCTCCTCTCTGGGATTTCACAGGGGAACTGAGTGAGTCTTAAACCTTTGCTTATCTAGCAACACATGGAATTTTATTTTGGTTACAATACTATTTCCTATTCTACCCCTGAGTCACAGTCCTTCCGAAAGGTCTCCCGGAGACTTTGTTTTCACCGTTTTCCCGCCTCGCCCTTGACAGATTGAATATTTCAACAACCAAATCATTGTGGACCTGGTGGAGGAGCCGCACAAGGGCATCATCGCTGTGCTGGATGAGGCCTGCCTGACTGGGGGGAAAGTCACCGACACCCTGTTCCTGGAGTCCATGAATGCCAGGCTTGGCAAACACCCACACTATACCAGCAGGAAGGTAAGGTAAAGGTAAAGGGACCCCTGACCGTTAGGTCCAGTCGTGGACGACTCTGGGGTTGCGGCGCTTATCTCGCTTTATTGGCCGAGGGAGCCGGCGTACAGCTTCCGGGTCATGTGCCAGCATGACTAAGCCACTTGTGGTGAACCAGAGCAGCGCACGGAAACGCCATTTACCTTCCCGCTGGAGTGGTACCTATTTATCTACTTGCACTTTGACGTGCTTACGAACTGCTAGGTTGGCAGGAGCAGGGACCGAACTATGGGAGCTCACCCCGTCGCGGGGATTGGAACCGCCGACCTTCTGATCGGCAAGTCCTAGGCTCTGTGGTTTAACACACAGCGCTACCCGCGTCCCTAAGGAGGGGATATCTCGAAGCAAAACAGAGGCAGCTCCCCACTCCAGAATTAATCTGAGCCTTGAAAAGCACATAGAGCTGGAAGGAAAAGTGGACAAGAGCGCCATTCTTCCAACTTCCTCCATTGACTCTATGGCTGGTTCAGCGCCGGATTTAAGTTTGATGAGGCCCTAAGCTACTGAAGGTAATGGGGCCCTTTAGATGTCCAGCTGTCCTTTGTCAACAACAAATTGTCGCTGTTTTTGTGTGTGTTACGTATATGCTATATGGTTATTTATGGACCTCATAGGTATCTAAAGCCATTTGCACATGCAGAATGTAGGCACCCTATATATGTTGTTGTTGTTTAGTCGTTTAGTCGTGTCCGCCTCTTCGTGACCCCCTGGACCAGAGCATGCCAGGCACTCCTGTCTTCCACTGCCTCCCGCAGTTTGGTCAAACTCATGTTGATAGTGTCCCACCATCTCGTCCTCTGTTGTCCCCTTCTCCTTGCGCCTCCATCTTTCCCAGCATCAGGATCTTTTCCAGGGAGTCTTCTCTCTCTCATGAGGTGGTCAAAGTATTGGAGCCTCAGCTTCAGGATCTGTCCTTCCAGTGAGCACTCAGGGCTGATTTCCTTCAGAATGGATATGTTTGATCTTCTTGCAGTCCATGGGACTCTCAAGAGTCTCCTCCAGCACCAGAATTCAAAAGCATCCATTCTCCGGCGATCAGCATTCTTTAAGGTCCAGCTCTCACTTCCATACATCACTACTGGGAAAACCATAGCTTGAACTACACAGACCTTTGTGAGCAAACCAGTGATATTTTAGGGAGTAGGCGAGCAGGTCGGGCCCATGACTAGGTGCCTACACAACACAAAACGCTGCTGCTGTATGTAGGTTTGATTTTATTTGTTTTTTATCTTATATTTTGGAAATGTACATCCAGGTTTTTTCCTCATTAATTTTTTTGAGGGCCCCAAGAGAGTGTGGGGCCCTAAGCTATTCTGTAGCTGGGTTAGCTTATACGTAAATCCGGCACTGGTTAAGGGAGAGAAAGGAAATTTCCAGGGGAGCAGAGTTTAGCGCCTTCTGAGGTAGCCTGTTCCACTGTTGAGGAGTTCTTTCCGTCTATTTATTTCGATCTTTTCTATAGCCGTTTATGTGGTGTGGTTTTTTTAAAAAAATCTGAGTCGTTTACGGCAATACCTTAACACGGATAGAACATTGATAGAGCATTGCAAAAGAAAATCAAACAAAAAGAAATGCGCATTAGAAGCTGCATCCTTGGCAGCAAAATAAAGATGTTCTTCAACATAAAGAAGTCGCAATCCAATGCAGAAATACAATGGAAAAACCCATGTGTTAGAAAGCATTGTTTGCAGCTGAGCAAAATCGCTGTGATCCAAGCGGCGCCCACACTCCACACCCCCAAACAGTGACTTCTCCAAACAAAAACTCAGCGGCCTCCCACATACAGACGTCACTTTCCACCCTCCCAGCCATTGATACCCATATTAGCAGAGCTGCCTCCTCCGGAAGGAACCAAGAAGACATAACTTCAATAAAGAATGGGGAATTTTTTATCATTTATCTAGGAGATCACTGTGAACCAGGCACCCCCAAACTCGGCCCTCCAGATGTTTTGAGACTACAACTCCCATCGTCCCTAGCTAATAATAATAATAATAATAATAAATTTTATTTATATCCCGCCCTCCCCAGCCAGAGCTGGGCTCAGGGCGGCTAACACCAGTAAAAACATAATGGGGGGGAAAGAGAGAGAGAGGGAAAAAAAACCCAATTTAAAATACAGGTTAAAATGCAATTTAAAATGCAGCCTCATTTTAAAATAGCCAATAAATCAAGACCATAAGGGGAGGGAAACATGAGGGTCAGACTGAGTCCAAACCAAAGGCCAGGCAGAACAGCTCTGTCTTGCAGGCCCTGCAGAAAGATGTCAAGTCCCGCAGGGCCCTGGTCTCTTGTGACAGAGCGTTCCACCAAGTCGGGGCCAGTACTGAAAAGGCCCTGGCCCTAGTTGAGACCAATCTAACCACCTTGCGACCTGGGACCATTATTATTAATTGTGAGGCTCAAAGCCCTTCAGCAGAAAAACAACAATTCCATTCCTTATTCTCTCTGTCTATATATAACACAGGGAGAAAAAGTCATTCTGCTGTTTCCATAGTTAAAACAAGGAGGAGTCATAAATTCTTGCTGGCGTTTTTCAAATCAACCGGCGATCTAGTAGATGCTGATCAACCTTTGCCCACCACCGCTATAGAAAACCCCACCAGAATTAATAAGAATCACAAACGCCTCCACCCACCCCTTTGCTCTTGCCTTATGTGAATCTCTTTGTATATAAGAAACTAATAAGAGCCCTGCTGGATCAAGCCAGTGGCTCATAGAGTTCAGCATCCTGTGTCAGGTCATAGCTGTCAACATTTCCCTTTTTTTAAGGGAAATTCCCTTATTCCGAACAGGGTTCCTCGCAAGAAAAGGAAAAGTTGACAGCTATGTGTCAGGTGTGCTTGCAGGAGCCAGGCCCTGTGACCAGTAAGGCTTTGCAGGACTGGGGTCTTCCTAAGTTTGTTCTGAAGAGGCAAGGCACAGGTGAGGCCGATTGGTAACTCACATCACCTGGTGGCAAGAGCTGGGAAGGGATTTAAGGACAGCATTTCCCTTTGGCTCTTTGCCACAGCAACACGTTCCTTGTCTTGCTGTGTTTGACTCCTTGCTTCTTGATCCTTGGATCCCTTACTTCGTGACTCCTTGCTTCTTGATCCTCGGACCCCTGACCTCGTGACTCCTTTCTTCTTGATCCTCGGACCCTTGACTTCTTGACTCCTTGCTTCTTGATCCTTGGATCCCTGACTTCGTGACTCCTTGCTTCTTGATCCTCGGACCCCTGACCTCGTGACTCCTTTCTTCTTGATCCTCGGACCCTTGCCTTCGTGACTCCTTGCTTCTTGATCCTCGGACCCCTGACTT